ACTTATTTTATTTAGAGTTATCAAAAACTATTTATAGACAGCTGTCAGAGGGGAGGGGTTTGGGGGCTGAGTGAGAAGGATGAAGGAATTATGAAAATAAATTTAAAAAAGGAAAGACTCATGGACACAGAAAACAGTATGGTGATTGCCAGAAAGAGGGTAGGGGGGTATAAAAAGGTAAAGGGGAGGATAAATGATAATGGAGGGAGATTTTACTTGGGTTGGTAAACCCATAATACAATATACAGATGATGTACTGTAGAATTGTAAACCTGAAACCTATATAATATTATTAACCAATGTCACCCCATGAATTCAATTTAATAGAAATAAAAGAAAAAGTAATGACCCACAATTCTGTAATTATGTTAAAAATTAGTGAATTGTACACTTTAAACAAAAATACTTTATGGTATGTAAAAAAACTATTTATAGGTAATGTTATATGAAACTAACACTCTAGATAGTGTGGTAATAATTACTGTAAAGACAAAATACTTCTTAATTATTTTAAATAAAGACAATTTTCTTAACCTTAATTATTAATGCATACTGTTAACAGTTGCCTACTAATATAAAAAATGTATTTTTGCTTACTATAACCACTTCTACCTAACATTGTTGAATTATATACCTCTGTGTGAAATCCATAGCTACACCACTTCTAGAAAAAAGAAAAAAAAAACCACTGGAGAATATCTTCATAATCATAAAGAAGTAAAGATTTCATAAAAAAGATAAACCATTAAGAATACTTTTAAAAGATAAATAATTTTAACTCTTGCAAAAGTGAAATATCTTAACCTCTCATGAAGAGCTACCACTAAGAAAATAAACAGTCAAGTCACAGTGGGAGAACATAGTCCCAGACATACATCTAGGCAAGGACTTGTCTACTCCCAATACTAAAATAGAAAACAACACGATAACAATGGAAAACACATGTGACCTGACAATAAAGAAAGAAAGATGTATGAATAACCAATAAGTATATATGATTGTCTTCTCAACATCATTAGTCATCAGGGAAGCACAAAGTAAAATCACATTTACCTTCATAACTAAAATAAAAATATTGATGACACCTATTGCTGGAGATTATTCAGAGTAAGGGTGGCAAACTATAACTGATGGGCCAAATCTGTTTGCTGCCTCGTTATTTTTATAAATAAAGTGTATCAGAACACAGCCATGCTCATTCATTCATGTATTTTTTTTGTGGATGCTTTCATACTCCAATAGCATAATTTAATAATTACAACAGAGACTGTATAGCCCACAGTGATTAAGATATTAGCTAGCTAGCCCTTTATAGAAAGTTTGCTGACCCCTGATGCATTATTATCAGAACTCTCATAATAATCTCATTGTTGATGGGAGAGTAAAATAGTACACTTTGAAATATATTTTATAACTTCTCAAAAAACTATATCCTAAAACTGAACTATGTAGCAATCTCAAACACCTAACACTGTGGCCGTGGCTAGTGTAGCCTAGTGTTTAGAGTGTTGACCTGAAGGGTTGAGGGGTTGTTTCCTGGTCAAGGGGACTCATACCACAGGTTCAACCACATGGCGGGTATATGTGTAGGAGGCAATCAAAGGATGTGTCTGTTTCTTTTTTTCTGCCCCACCTTCTCTCCCTCCTACTCTTTCAAAAAAAAAAAATCAATGGAAACAATATCCTCAGTTGAGGATTAACAAAACAAAAACCCTAGTGCTATGTAAAAGAGAATAGACACAAATTAGAATGCATATTTCATCTATTCTAGTAAAAGCAAATTCAGATACTCTGACAGAATTCACATCAATGGATGTTATGACCTGGTGAGGGATTTCCTTGCAAGGGGCACAAGGTAATGCTCTGGAAATGTTCTCTGTCTTATTAATGAGGGAGATTACATGAATTGTATACTTAAAATTAGATCCTTTCAGTTCATGTCTTTATATCTAAAAAAAAAAAAATACTCAGATGACTATTCTAGCCAGATTGGGAATAATGCTTTCTAATGGGATGTCTGAATGCCTACTTTAAAATCTATTACTAAAAGAGGGAGAGAAAAATTTAGATGGACAAATAATAATCTGCACCATAATAATAAGTGATTCCTGTCAAAGAGAGTCATAGGCTGATATGGAAGAGGAACACCTGGGAAATTCAAGTTATTGGTAATTACCCAGTTATTGGGATAAGTGATGGTTTTATGGGAGTTTGCTAGAAAGTACATTAAAGCGATTATAATAATTATAATTTATAAAACAGCTAATATCAGTATAAATTAAACAAAGATTAATAGATTACATAAAATAAATATAACCATAGCATATTAAAATTCTTAAATTAACTCCCAAATTTTAAAATAAGCGAAAATGTAACAATATACTATTTCTTAAATTATGTATTTTCAACACTTGAGATTGCTAATGCCCACTAAAAAAAAAAAAAGCTCCATGAAGTGATAGGGATAAGCTGACACTTTTCATGATGAAATAGCTCTGAATTCACCAGGGACCCCCCTCCCCCCCAGAATGGGACTGAACTTGTGGGTTTATGTGAAATTATAAATCACTCCTATTACTCTGGGGTTACACTTCTCATGATCACTTCTAAACCTCTGGTTCACTCTCATCACAATTTAGCATCTGGTTTTGGCTGTTACTGCGAGCAATTAAAGCAAAAGTCTGTGACCACATTTGGGAGGAAGCAGTAAAAAGGGTAACTAGCTTCCTGGTGGGAGATGCATTTCCAGGGCCCTTGTGAGGCAGTTGCATTGAAAAGAGCAGAGGTCCATGGAAAAGTGGACCCCATGGAAAAAACTCAAGACCCCATATCTAGGACCAGTCTGTGAAAGATGAGAGCATCTTCCTGTTAAGCCAATATATACTTAGTAGGCATTGTGGGAACAAATAAGTCAATAACAAGACAAAACTCACTGTAGTAAAGCAGGATGAAAAATGGAATGATTTTATTTGCTACGTTAACATAAACATTGCCTTGTAGTACCATTATTGAAGGCATGATTCATTTTATAAGGTTCATTTTAAAATTATAATTTAAATGCAAAAATATATAAGTGCAGCAACTGAAGCACAAACAAAATAAGTGAAAATCTTTTTGAATTAATTTTCTGTTTTATGAGGAGAAATGGCAAAAAAAAAAGTATGCATCAAATGCCATGAAATGGGAAACAATTTTCAATGAATACGGGATGACATTATACTTTGCATCAAGGCCAATTTGTTTGTTTCACCACTGTCATGGGTTTGTGAACTCAGGCATCAAAAATAAAGTGTCTTGCATTTGTCCTAGATGAGGGACAAGAGCCTGCGAACCCCAGGGTGGTTGTCTGAAATCACTTAGGTCACAGAACTGTGAAATCAGTGGGGTGTCATATCCGGAGTATATGTTGTGACCAGTTACACTTGACTGGTTTCCTTGCTTGAGCTTTTCTGACAAATCAAAAGCTTGGATTGAATCTATCGGCAGCTGTAGTCAGCTTTCTGAAAATACCTTGAAGGCATTCCCCTCCATACTCCACAAGAAAACTTCTATGAAAACTGACCTTTGCTGACTAATTCATCAAATATTTATTAAGCATCTATTTGGGAGTAATATATCGTAAAATAGTTCAAATTTGTTGCTTTTTAAAAATACATATTTGTATTGCTTTCATAGAGGTAGAGAGAGGAAGAGAGAGATAGAAACATCAATGATGAGAGAGAATTATTGATCAGCTGCCACCTGCATACTCTGCACTGGGGACCAAGCCCTAAACCAGCCGTGGGCAAACTACGGCCCGCGAGCCGGATCCGGCCCGTTTGAAATGAATAAAACTAAAAAAAAAAAAAAAAGACCGTACCCTTTTATGTAATGATGTTTACTTTGAATTTATATTAGTTCACACAAACACTCCATCCATGCTTTTGTTCTGGCCCTCCGGTCCAGTTTAAGAACCCATTGTGGCCCTCGAGTCAAAAAGTTTGCCCACCCCTGCCCTAAACCCTATGCTTGTACCCTGACCAGAAATCAAATTGTGACCTTCTGGTTCATAGGTCAATGCTCAACCACTGAGCCACGCCAGCAGGGCTAATTGTTGCTTTCTTTAAAAAATAAATGTTGAGAAGCAGCATAGACAGTAAGCTGATTTTACTAGAATATGAATGGTGAATAAATGACTGGCAGGCTTCAATTCCTTGTACTCACACCCAGAGCAAAAATCTCTAATATGGCAAACACTCTCTTCTTTCCTGATGTGCTGCTATAGCCTGTCACTTACTAGCCATCTAGCCAAGTTGGCTTGAGGGAAGAAGAGAAAAACTTCCATCCCCTCATAGTAATTGTTTTGTGTGTGTATTTTTTTTAAGCATAAATGGAAAGAATGTCAGAGACAGTGATTCTAATTTTTTTTAATAGAGGCTTGGAGATGTTCTGGAAACCAAAAAACAAAACTAGCTCAACAAATCCGCTGACTTTGGGGACTACCTTTTGGGCTGTTACAGCAGGCACAGCAGTCTATTACAGTTAAGACACCTATCACTTTTTTAAGCCAAACAATAGGAAGGCGGTATCCGTGTATATAAATGCCCATGTGTCCATCCACATGCCACTTCCAGAGAGAGATCTTTTCTGATTGCCTTACACAAAATAGCACTCTCCACCCATCCCCCCTGCTTTATTTTTCTTCATAGTGATTCTCCTTACTACGCATTCCTTCACTTATTGTATTGCCTGTGTTTTCCTCTACAATGTGAGGGAAAATATTTTTTTAAATCTTTTTCACCATTATATCCCCAGACCACTAGTCATACCTGACAATGATTCGAGGCTCAATAAACATTTCTTATCTAAAACATATTGTGAGCTGTATGACATGTCCCTATTTTGTTGATAATGAAGCACATTCAAAACTTGACCTCCTTAAGGTATACAAGTAATACAATTACTTACCTTTGCTTTTTCTATCTTGGCATCTCCAAAGCTTAGTGTTGTTTTGTACTTACTTGTTGGTTGCTTTTACTCTTGCAAATAGTATTGGTAGGAACCTCAGCCGGAGAAAGTTCAACAAAACTTGATATTTGAAAATACTGTCAAATATAAGCAGAAACAGAAAAAAGACTCAGTGGTGTTACCTTGAAAAGAAGACTGCCATTTTTATGGTCAGCCAGAATATGAATGACATAGGTAAACAACCTATGAGCTGTCCTTGTTCTTTTACCATATTAAAAAGCTTATTAACTCAGGATTGTTCTAAAACAGAATTTTGGACGCTTTATCTAATGGCAGTCTGCTGAGCACAAGTCACACAATAATACCAAATCATGTGAGTTTATGGTTTAATTACACAGCACCTGCCATCCCTGCAACCCTTTTCATTGCCGCTGTAATTCATTTCCTTTTAAGAGAGATAAGTAAAAATAGATAAGCCTTCTAATTTTCCACTACCTTCTCCTGTCTCTCCAATTTTTTTACCCTTTTTTTTCCCTCCTTTATGATAACTATGGGTGTTATTTAAAAGGAAGTTCTCAGGCGTTAATATTAGGTCAGCTGCTTTCTGTGCAAATGAAAGGTTGGTGGAGAAATGCCAGGAGGTATATTTAATATCTATGTAGAATGAAAAATATTCTTATAGATAAGCAGTATGTGTGAGAACGCTATTTTTCTTGCCAATCGACTAGTATGTATTTTAAAATATGTGGACATGGGCTGAATTTTAAATTTCTGGTACCATCATAACTTTCAAGGATTCTGTTAGAAGCAGGTAGTTAATGAAAGTTTTCTTAGAGGATATTTCAAAGCAGTGGCCTTCAGACAAGCTGATGCAGCACAGAAAGAGAGTTCACATGTTTGATAGAAATGGATATGGATTTGAGTTAGAAAAAGGCCAATAGTTAAAGAAAGCAGAAAATGAAGTATGTCACAGGACTGCAAGTGGTGTCTCTACAGGGAAAAAGCTGAGGGACTCAAAAAAGCAAGAATGGCTAAAATTAATTTTTTGCTATAGTATAATATGTCTTCTATTGACTAAATTTTTTATATTACCTACTACCTAGTTCACAAATTTGGAATGAAAAAGAGATGTTTAAGAAGCCAAATTCAAACTATCAAGACTATATTAAAAGAGAGAAATTAGAGGAAAATATAGACCCCTCCAAAATTTCCAGATATATTCGAAACTTTGTTACAGTTCTCCAATATGTAAGCAAAAAAGCCTTACATATAATAGTACCAAAAAATTAAAAAGTAGGTGAGCCAAACAGTCTGGAGGAATTGGGGACATCGGGTAAATGAGTTCTGATAAACACTCAGGATAGAATCTTCTCCTTAAATTGGTTTCTCTCTGTCCTGGCATACTCATTCTGAATTATTGGATTTCTGAATCTGTGCACAATTTGTGCAGCTGGATTCTTTGATGAGTAGTTTGCATTTAACCTAGCAGACAACACAGCACCTCTGATGACCTTTGAGATGAAAGGATTCACATATGATAGACTTGCATTCAGGTTTCCAGACTTTTTAAGGTAAAGCAGAAAATGTCTTTCTAAATATTTGGATTTTAGAAAACCATGTAAATTAATAAGTGAGACATTTGAGAGATTGATTCTCCCTCCCCATTCCCCCCCCCACACACACACACACACTTTGTAGTGGAATGGAAAGACATACCACTATCCTTTTGACAAAGATAAAAACATCATTCTCTATTGAATGGAATAATAGAATCACAGAGAGCCAACCACTCCTTTAGTGTGGAGAATAGATATTCTCCTGGACTGTTTGCCCCATGCCAGGGAATTCCTGGTGTAGTTAGGGCAGTGGTGGGGAGAAATGGGAAAGTTCTCCCAATATTGGTACAGAAGGTGGCTGTTTTCATCTTTCTGTGATGACGCTCTGTAAAGGGACATAGATCGAGAGACAGAGAAAGAGAGACCAAGAATAAAAGGAGGGAGAAAAGGAAAAACATTTAAAAAATGTTAAAAACATTTTTATTGATTTCAGAGAAGAAGGGAAGGGAGAGAGAGATAGAAACATCAATGATGGGAGATAATCATTGATTAGCTGTCTCCTGTACAGCCTGCCTACACTGGGGACCGAGCCCTCAACCGGGGCATGTGCCCTGATCAGGAATCGAACCACAGCCTAGTACATAGGTCGATGCTCAACCACTGAGCCATGCCAGGGGGCAGGATAAACATTTTAAAATAAATTTCTACTTTGAGGGAATTATTGTTTGAGAAAATTAATGATACTTCAGAGATGTTTACTAATGCCCTTCTTTAAAAACTCTATTAATATGCACTGATGTCAACATACTTGAATACCATTTCTCAATATCTGGATTTTAAAAGACAACAAAACTTTGCCCCTGTGAACCCAGTAATTGATTCACACATGACCTGCCATTGGTCTAACATAACTTCAGTTCCTCTTTCCAGATCAGAGTTTTAAATTAGTGGAAAATTGCCTACAGTGAACCTTGATTAACTGGTTTCTTAGCATAATAGGGATTAAATCATAGTGGAAACCATCTTGTTTCTTGTGTCTGGCAACCTGCTACTGAGAAGTCTCTTTTTTTTTCATAACAAGACATTGTCCTCTCTGGACTGTAGTTCAACTGCTCAAGCTATAAAATACCACTTCCAACCTGTAGTCCCACAGCCCAGTCGTTTGCCTTTGGTTTTCATTCCCCAGGACAATGACGGCCTCTCTCTTTGGGTAGCCCTGATAGTGTAAACCACCACCCCAACTTCAGCTTCTTTCTCAAAAACTATTTTTGATGATAGGAATCTAAGATTTCTTGTGTTCATGATGAAATTTTTTTAAAATATATTTTTATTGACTTCAGAGAGGAAGGGAGAGAGAGAGAGCAAGAGAGAAACATCAATGGTGAGAGAGAATCATTGATCGGCTGCCTCCTGCATGCCCCACACTGGGGATCAAGCCCACAACCTGGGCATATGCCCTGACTAGGAATTGAGCCATGACTTCCTGGTTCATAGTTCGAAGCTCAACCACTGAGCAACACTAGCCAGGCAATGATGAAATTTTGTCAGATATATATTCTTATCTATATCTACAGGGGAAAATACAACCAACTAGAACATTAATAGACACATGTGATCCTTCCATTTGGAAATAAAATAGTTGGATGCATATTTCTCAGTTTAACTCACTGACTTTTTCAAAATGATGTGTACCATTATTCTCTAAACACATAACTACACACACACACACAAACACACACACACACACAAACCACATACACACAAAAAATACATGTACATGTTTTAAAGTATTCCATAGGATTACTAATACTCCAAAAAGCATATGTATCTACATAGGTTACATTTACGTCATGCTATAGCAAGCATATTCTAACAATTTGGTTAGATATCAAGACAGCCATTTCCAGGGTAATATAGTAATAGATAAAGATGGAAACATAATTTTACTTATATAAATTATATGAGTCTGGGAGTGATAGGGAGATAATACAATTTCTCCTGCCATAGGAGTTCCCAGGGACAGCCATAAGATGACAAGGTGACTTTAAATGTAATTTAATACCACCAACACTTTTGAAAATGAACACTATTCCCAATGTTGAGAAAGACTGAGAAACTCATACAAGAGTCAGATCTGGTGGAAATTTGAAGAAGAAAAAAAGAGGGAAGGTATACTAAGCCGCTCTACAGAAACATCTAAGCCTATTACTTGGGAACAATAGCTCTAAATCATGAAGTAGCAGAGCCTTTTGATAACAGTGGGAGTATGGAACAGGGCAGTAATTTTAACTTAAAATGCCAGCAGTATATAATGCGAATGCCAACTACTGCAGCAGTGGTCATGGAAACCTTTCACTTCAAATTTATAGCACCACCCGCTGCAAAATATGTGAGCATAACTTCATAAGATGCTGTTTTCACTTGCTCACACCACCCTCACTCCTTAACCCTTTTCTTCCCCTTTCTGACTCTTCTCTTCTTGACACATGGTCATTCTTTCTCTCACATGGTTAAATGAAACATAATTTTATTATAGATTGTATAAAATGTTTCTTAAGTTTTATAACTTTTATTTGATTATATTAAGAAAACTTTCAGGATTGTTTTCAAATTTGGAAATATTTCTATCATGTTTATTTCATATATGACTTATAAATTTTCCCAAAAGGAAGTCTGGTTATGTGTCTCAAACCTTGTCTCTACTATATATATTTTTTTACAGATGTAAAAATTTTATTTTTGGTAAATAGTAATTAAGTCCCAATTCAAAAAGTAATTTCCTAAGTAGAAATCAAAGCAAGACACTCAAAGCATCAGAAAAATTCAGACAATTCTCTAAGAGAATTCAGGACTTAACCAACATAAAAATAGTCAACTTAGTTATATCTGGATAGGTACCTAGTCTGAGTAAGGTCTCTTTAGATAATTAAAGTCTTGTTTCTGGTTTTAAGATTAGGTAAACAACACCACAATGATAGTTGTCTCAAAATGAATAGGTAAAATGAATAGGTTACAGAAAATAATTAGAATCTCTACTTATATTTTAACCAAAAGAATCAGAAAAAGCAATATTTACTGTCATACTGCTATCCCCACTCAGTCTATATCCAGATATGTAATTCAGATAATTTTCTATTATTCACTTATTTTCAGTGCTAAGCACTATGGACTATGTTCACTTTACAGCAAGACCTTTGGCCCCACACCTTCACATCGGTTTACCAAGTGAGTGCAGGTCAAGGGTAAGGAGAGTCCCAGAGCCATTTCTACACCAACACAACTAAGAAAAATGTATCTATACACAGATATGACTGCAGACCCATTACATATCACTAAATGGGAACTAAAAACATTTTTCATGGAATTTTCCATCAGCTGATTCCAAAATTGCTCATTGTTGTCCCATGGCCTCTTGATATAAGCAGGATAAGATATATATAGTAAGTTAGAGTGGGAAGGGCAGTGATATTAACTGATTTTTCTAAAAATATTTTCCGTTTGTAATTTTTCAAAAATATGTAAATCTGTGAACACATGATAAACATATTTCCCAGCGCCTGTGTCTTTGAAGCTTATGCTTA